GATGCCCTAATTGCAAAGCTGCTCCTAGTTCCCAGTAGCTTTGTAATTTAAGCTACTCAGCTACTTGGTATTAGCTACTTAGTATCTCTGTTCAAGGCCTGATCCTTGAACAGAGATACTAAGAAAGGAATATGAACTGATATCAATACTTAACGCTCCTGGCCATCCTTAGGGCCCATAACAGAAGCATGCTGCCTGGGCAAAATGGGGGTTACAGGACTGCTAGGCATATGGATCAGTGACCTTCTCCTCAGTTGCAAGACACACTGGGCACATCTACACGTGCTCCTGACTGCGCAGTTGGTACTGTGTGCAGTCATTTAGTACTTGCTTTAGAAAGTACCAAATGATCGCTCAGTACCCACTGGCACTCCCAGTCCTGGTGGTACACGGGTAATTTTTTTACTCTACTGTGCAGTAGCAGCATCATGGTTAATGCCTGCCGATGCTACGTCACCACAGCATCTTGTGTAGATGCACCCACTATTTCCCCACCCCCCAAATTTGATCCACTTGGAATAAATTCATCCACTTGGTGCTTTTCATAAGCAAAGAGCACAGTTATTGCTCTTTAAGAGACTACTGCAGGCCAACTGATGTTTGATGCTCTACTGTTCCCAAATTTGGCCTCCAGTACACTCAATGCCCAACCTTTCATTAGGTCCCAGCTGGGGTAGGCTTCATGTTCGAATTTAGAGCTCTGAAAGGAAGTTTGTCCATTTCTGAGAACAAACTGTGATGTTGAAGATGGAAATGGTTTCATGTTTTACTACCTTCTGTGACCATGGATATTATTTAATAGCTTCCCAGAAGAAAGCTTGCAGTTTTTTCCCCCCCGCCTTTTCTTTTTTTAAATCACCAGTATCAGATGGAAGAAGAATCAGCCAATGCCAAGTACTTCTGAGAGACCTCACCATATGTGCATATGTATTAAATTTAAATTTAGACAGTCATCCTTAGATGCCAGAATCTCCATGACTCTCAACATACACTGTCTTCTAGACATATTCATGCAAGAATAACTGCTTACAAAACTTCTGTATAAAGAAACTGGCATCAGCCCCTCTCTCACATTCAAAAGAGCCCTAGCAGTTGCAAAGTGCGCTATATTTGGAGCAGTTTCTTTTAACACCTTTGAAGCTAGGAGATTATTATGTTCCACACATAGTTGTCTAGATAGAGGTTAAAAGTAATCTGCATTTACATTATTTACTTATTCTGTTCTCATTGGAAAGAGACTATTTCAGTACAAAGCTGTAAACAACAAACATTTTTAAAACCCTCTGAAATACAGAATAGCAGCACTGGGTCAGTTTGCATTTTGGGGCAGATTTTTATAAAAGACTTCCAAGATAGCACTGCAATGAATGCACATTAATTAGCTGCCCAGGGGAAAAAGAAAGTCCTATACTGACAATAAACAATTGCATGCAGTCGCCAATTCACCGATTGGCGAGAGTCTTCAGTGAGGGTTTTTGTTTTTTTTTTTTGGTTCCCCCCCCGCATGTGTGCAATTTGAGTTCCCAACATGCATTTACCTTGTGAAAGCACACCCCAGTTTTCCTTAGTGGAATATTCTGGGTATGGCAAGCAGTTGCTTTTGTTCTGAAAAGTGATAACAGAAAAAGCATGAAGAGTTTTATCTGTGCAACTTGCTATAAATCTGGACTGCAGTATTTTGGGAGGGGAGAGGTTCTCCAGCTTCACAGCACAATTGTCGGTGTATTCAGTGGAGCATGTTCAATGCCAATTAACATGTTTTGTGCAGGTTCACTACCTTTTTCAGGTGACTGACAAAAAAATGCTAAGTTGAAGTTGTTTTGAATAATTGTGCGGGCTGAAGAAAGCAGCAGAGGAGGAAGTGATTCAAGCTGTTCCATCAGTCACATGTTGGAGGGGGGCACCTGCAGTGCTAACACCACATGTTCAGGCTGAAAAATTAACTCCTACGGAGAGGATATACTGGGAGCAATAAGTCTCAAAAATTGTGGGCATGGAAAAAAGCCAAGTTTCAAAAAGTACCTGTATAAAGCATAGAAAAGCGAGGCAGAGCAGTGACAAGGAAAAAAAGATACCACGTGTGAGCATTTATGAATAAAACCAGAAAAGCTTAAAAAAAACCCAACACAACAACACACACGCACCAGAAAGTTACGCTAGCAAATGCAGGTGGAAGGGTAAGAGGTCTAGTAATGAGCAGTGGTTTAGGAGTTGGGTCTCTTGAGATTATACCTAGTATTATCACAACAAACTTACAAGTCACTTAAAAAACAAAACAAAACAAAACAAACACTGTGTGCCTCACTTTACCTGTAAAACTATGGATATAGTTTCCTGTGAAAAAGGCGAGTTAAACTTACAGATTCTAAAGTATCGGTTGCTATATAGCAGATGAAGGAGACTAGGAAGAAGACTAGGACTGCTAACCCTGTGCTCATTCCCATCCTTTTGCAAAGAGATAAATATTGTTGGCCGCTAAGTGAAACAAAGAGAAAAATCTCTCTCATCCCTTAATAAGGAACTCGAAGATCTACCCACTCAGGGCACCTCTACACGAGCAGCGAGTCTGCTCCAACACGCTGTAATTACAGCACATCAAAGCAGATGCAATTAATAAAGTCAGCTGGAGCATGTTAATTGCAATGCTTCAGCAAACTCTAGCATCTCGTTATCAGCATTCCCACACTTAAAAATGGTGGCAGGGGTGCTTTAATTAAAACTCATTGAACAAGTTTTAGATAAAAGCACCCTCATCACCATTTTTAAGAGCAGGGATGCTGATACACAAGACTCTTCAGGTGCTTAAAATTAAGTGCTCTTCTCCCACAGCACTCCCCGAGCCTGTGTACAAACACCCCTGGAGTTCAGGGGCCATGTGAAGTCAGAGACCCAGTATGCAGGTCAGGGGGTGGGGGGGCAGGGAACGCAAATCAAAGCTCGATGGACAACACAGATAGACTGTCCATTGGCTTTTTCAGCTGACCAAGCAGACTTGAGCCACCCTTCCCCAATTAGCCTTACTTTTCTTCATCTGAACTCATTCTATTCAATCTCTTCTTGCTACCCCTAAGCAGTGACAATTTTAGGTTTAAGAACAATGCTTCTGTTCTGCAATACAAAGAACCAGGCGGTAATCATTAAAAGTTGCACTAAATGGAAGAGAAAGAGACAATGCTTGGATTCTACACAGGGTTTGAATGACAGATGAGCTTGAGGGGCTGAGCCCCCCCCCGGCAGCCAGGCAGAAACTGCTGTTTAGCGCGGGGGCAGAGTGGCCTCTCTCCCTCATCGCTGCTGGGGCGCTTTTTGCTGCAGCCACTGAGAACCCAAGCTGCCCTGCAGCTTCTCTCTGCCACCGCCACTTCCAACCCCCCCACAAGATTCGAAGTGCCATTCGAACCCTGATTCTACACAGAAAAGGAAAAAAAAAGGAAGAAACTTAAACACCAATAAATAATGAACTCAAAAAGACAAAAACACCCCACAAAACTCAACTGCATGTGCAAACCATGAACCAGAAGTATGCAGCAGATCAGAAATTCAGACAGCACAGCACACGTGGACTCTAGCTCTACAGATTAACAGTGTTAATGTAGTCAGGAAAAAAAAATCTCTAGTAATTTATACAACAGACGTTCCCTGGACTAGTTCAGAGCGATGTACAGGATGCAGCTTGAGGCAAACCACAGATCCCCTGGGCCACTGCCAAGCCAGCAAGAGATTGACTAGCAATAATTTAAAAAGTCTACTCAAGATTTATTGCTTAAACAAGAAAAACCCTAAAGGTTTGAGTTATTCAGTAGGTTCAACATAATAAACAGAAGCACAAAGATTAAGGCACCTACAAAATTTTTGTTCGCATCCAAATCAAATGAGACACACAAGTAAAACAGTTTTTTGTTAGCGCTCTTGGCTTATGCAGAAAATTCAGTGATATGACAGAAAGCAGCAGTGAAACCCAGTTGCTTAAAATGAGTCAGATCTCATGCTACCTGATAAAATTCTTCTCTTGAAAGGAGTGAAATACCTCAGAAAAATTTTTAAAGTTGCTAGCAATTACTTCACTATCATAAAGGGCTGTAGTTATGTCAGGCACCAACCAAGGAGGAACATTAACATAAAAAGGATATATTGTAGTTTTGAATGTTGCATGGAGGAGATTAAGGTGGAAACATTCAACTCCTACTATAGTCTGAGATAGCCTCTGCCCCAAGAGGGTGGATCTTGATTCTCTTATTACAGATAACAGTATCTGATCAAAGCAAGCACTGTAAGAGGGCTGCAGCTTGTTTTTCTAGGTTTGGCAGTCTTGGATATATCAGAAGGGGAGGGAAGGGGGGTGAGAAAGAGATGCAAGAACTTGAGTCTGCTGAAAGATTAGAAGAAGGCATACAAAAGCAGCCAGATCGAGGGGCCCAAAAGGGTAGCAGAGTGTATACTCTGGACATAAAGGCACAGAAAGAAATAATTGCTCTGAATACGAACATCCTAGAGAAGGAAGGAGCTACTTTGGAGATAAATACTTGGGCAAACTCACTATTTTACTTGACTGCAAGAAATGGAATGAACCAGTCGTGGAATGGGACCAAAAAAAAAAAAATTGTCCATACCTCACCCAAAAGAGCTGTGCTACTACCAGAATACATACCGTTTTCATGTTTTACTCATCTTTCCATTTACTTCTATTATACATTGCACTATCTTGGAGTAATGAGGAAGTCCTTGGTTTTAGATGTACGGCAGCTGCAATTCTTGCTTCATTGCCATAGCTAGCAGCTAAGTTAGAAGCAGACCTTGCCAATTATGCAGGCCCAGTCAATGCTGCACCAACACTGGGGAACGTAACTTGCAGATGCAATACAACCTGACTCACTGCAGTGTGACCTCCCTCCTCACCCTCCAAACATGGTGGAGATTAGCACTGGGCAATAGGAGTTTGAGGTCAAACCAAGTCACAACAGGATACCTTGCAGTATGTCCAATACTGACACGATACTCACCGGGTTGTGGGTTTCCTGTGGGGAATGATGAACAGCCCACCAGTCAGATGTCCATTCCCAGGCATTCCCCACTATGTTATACAAGCCATAATGGTTTGGAGGAAATGCAGTAACCTGAAGAAACAATGGTGAGAGGTCACTTCTACCACAAAACAGACCAATACCATGAACCTGTTTAATCAAGGGAGTTTCTGCTCTCAGACCTCTGAATCAGATAGCCAAGTTAGTCATTCAGAAATAATACTCGGGGTCAAAAATAAGAGAAGGGGGTTTTAGGACTGACTGACTACTGCAGAAATAAAAAAAGTCTACATTTTGAGAAAGAAGGGGGGAAGACTCTACAGTATGAATCCAGTACTGTTTTGAATGAAAACATATTCCCAAGCTTCCCGCCACCACATCTTCAGGTACTACTGCTGCACCTCAGTTTACCTCCTTGCTGACCCTGCTGTTATCTTTCCTCCATAGAGGCTCATAACTTTATTACTATTATTATTATTATTACTATTATTATTTATTGGAATGAGCCTCCAAATGAATCATTGTAACCACCAATTTACATCTGTACTTTAAGTACCAGACTCCCTACCAAGAAAATGGAGAGGCATTCCTACCCCTGCCTGTGCTAACTTCCTGTCTAGTCAGCACTTTTCTTAAACAAGCAGTCAGTGCTAAATTAAGCTTCTATTCAAACCCTAAATTATAATAGGCAAAGGCTACAGCTGCATGGCCTTATAAACTTTAAAAATGCTGTGTCATTCCAAAACAGAAATAAATTCCCCTTCAACAATTTCATGTGTTATGAAGCACGCTCCCAAGATGGCAGGCAAAACCCCTGCAATCTCAAAAGCCGTTTTGCTAATTTGCTTTTGGTTCATTTGCCAAGACAAACAAAGGCACACTCATCAAGTACTGTTGCACCCAGCTCTAAATAAATAAATAAAATAAGTTCAATCCTAGAACAGCTAAAGAAAATTGCTTCAAGTTTGCATTTCGGAAGGATTTCGGTGTTATAAGTTTTGAAAGCTCAGCACAGCCACCAACACTTAGGACTCCCTTTTCAGAGAGGTTCATCCCTGGAATGAAACACTGGAGCTTGAAAGTCTAAGGGTGAAAAAAAGGGAGGGCAAGGTAAGTGGAAAACCCACATATTAAGTGGGTTTTTCAATATTAATAGGTCTGCGTTAGTGTCTGAACTGTTAGGGGACTGACATACTTACAGGTGCAGTTCCTTTGTATCCATCCTCTCCAGTATTATTTGTTGGGAATTCTCCCTGCCAAATATTGGCATAATGCTGACCTTTCGGCTGAAGCTTGTTGCCCCATGGGAAAAGTCTGTTGGAAAAACAAACAAACAAACAAAAAACACAAGAGAAGAGCTGTTAGAAACAGAGCTTGGGTTTTGGATTAGAGATAACAGAAAGAACAAAGGGGAAGGAAAGTCCTAAAGAGCTATTTTTAATAAATTACTCAGTGAAAAGCTGCCAATCTAGTTCATGTCAAGCATACAAAAAATTAAAAAAGAAAGGGAGGCATGCAAGTGCTTGGGCCATGTTTTGTACTTATATGGTTGGCTAACTGGGCAGCATTACTGCTTTAAAAAAAAAAAAGTAACTATTTTAGGAAGAGTTGATCCTAGAAAATTAAACCTAAATCCCCTCTTCATCTCTCTCTCTCTCAAGCAAGAGCTTCAACAAGAAAAAAAAAAAATCTGTAAAAAGTAAATACTCTGTAAAGAGTTTACATCTGAGGAGCCGGATGTATGGAATATATACAACCTACATTCCAACTCCATGTGTATAAACCCATATCATTTAATAAGCCTTAAAAGGGACAAAGATTCTTCCAGAGCACGTAGCAGCCCAAAGCGTAATCTGCTGTTATAGGAGACGATGATTTAGGGTATACAGAAGTGACTGTGACACATTAGCTTTCTGGCTGTTGTACAATGAGAGAGAGAGCGAGCGAGCGAGCTCTTGCTCTTCCTACATTCCTGGCCAGTTGCTTTGACCCTTTGGACAATCTTGGATGAACAAAGAAGGTCGAGCTTCAGCCTCCTGGGCAAGATCTCGTCATCTGTAATTCAATAACAATACTTCATCTCTTAAAACCACCGTTATAGTCAACTGAAGCTCTTTTAAAAGAGAAGACTGTACAGGCTTCATATACATTTCATGCACTGCACATGCACACACTGGGGAAGAAAAATATAAAAGGGAATATAAATTCTGCTCTCCTCAGGATGGCAAGTTCCAGACTCTCATATACATTCATGGAATTCAGAAACTCATATACATTAAATCTTGACAAGTACCTATTTTCAAGCCCCCCTCGGCAGCTATACTCCCATTCGGCCTCAGTGGGTAATCGTTTTCCTGCCCACGTGCAGTAGGCTACTGCATCGTTCCAGGAGACGTGAAGAACTGGGTGATCCATTCTGATGAGCAAAAAGAAAAAAAAAAAATAGGACAAGGACATCAGCAGAGCCAGAAAGCCTCCTAACTATAACTGCAATAGCACAAACACCTGATGAAGTTCTCAGACCATGCCATTAATAGAGTTGGCCACACCAGGTCACATATAGCATGTTTATAGCCTTTGTGCACCACATAAAACTGAACTAGGTGGCAGGTTAGCATTTAAAAAGGAAAAGTTTATCAGAGGAAATGCTGCAGCAAAGCAGTCAACAAGAGTAACAAATGCAAAACAGAGGGGAATGGCAAATACTGGAACTGGAGTAGGAAGAAATTAAGTTTATATGAACCATGGTAAGTTCAACTGTGCATTTTAACCAGCTTCCACTTGCATTTTCCCTTTAAACTCAGAACCCTGTGGATTCAGGGGGCCCCAAAAACTAAGTGACCCATCCTTCCTGTTTGCTTAAAAAAAAAAAAAAAAAAAAAAAAAGGAATGCAGGTACTCAGATCTTCACAGGTTCAGACCTTTAAGACTGAAGCTTTAGGACATGTTTTTGTACTAGACCCCACCTTAAGTAACTCAGCATGAGAGCAAGCAACTGCTCTGCCCAGCAGGTTCAGTTGCAGATTCAGATTATTAAAAAATTAAAAAAAAAAAAATTTAAAAAAAATTTCAGGTTCTGTGGGGATTCTCTGTACTACCTTGAAGTACTTCTCTCATCTGTTCCTCTAGCCTCCTCAAATCTTTTAGAGATATTTCCTGCTTTATGGAGGGGAGGGGGAAGAATAGTGGTAGCCGTTGCACTAGTATCCAGCCCCTTTTCTGGGACCGCAACAATATGACAGGCAGGGTTACTCGTTTCTACTGTGGCTGTTACAAAAGGTTTCTTGGCTTTTGTCCTCAGGCTCAGTCTCTTATTATTGGTCTTTCCTGTCCCAGTGGGACCATGCTAGGGTCCCAAGATGGAAAGTCCCCTTTCTTCCTGGTCACAGTATTACAGAAGATACTCTGGGACCATCCTAAGACGAGAGGGTTCTGACAGACACCCACTCATTGCGTTTCTACTGTGGCTGTTACAAAAGGTTTCTTGGCTTTTGTCCTCAGGCTCAGTCTCTTATTATTGGTCTTTCCTGTCCCAGTGGGACCATGCTAGGGTCCCAAGATGGAAAGTCCCCTTTCTTCCTGGTCACAGTATTACAGAAGATACTCTGGGACCATCCTAAGACGAGAGGGTTCTGACAGACACCCACTCATTGCACAAGTTACTGCAAGCATCTTCCCTTTCACTTTCCCACCACCAGTTCACACCTCAACTGGTCACCGTTAATTCTCCTTTGTTTCTCCACCTTTTGAGCTGCGTGAAGGGAAGTTCAGTGGAAAGGTTAGTCAGCTCTCCGTTCTAGCCCAGGTTTGTACCATGCTCATGAAGTACATAAGGCTCAGACAGCAGGTTTCCAGTGCTGTTGGCCATGACCCAAATCTCTCTCTCCAGCTTATCTTTCTCTCCCCATCTCGACATACTCTTCTCTATTTTTGCCTCAAACAGTTCTCTTTCTCCTCCCTTGGAGAGTAGAAGATGGACTTGTTACTAAGAGAACCAGCCACAGTATGATGTTACAGTGATGCTGCCCTGTCCTTAAGGGACTCGAGAAATACGTCAGCATCAGCCAGATCTAGGCTGGAGTGTCTTTTTTTGGAGTGTCCCGAAGCCAGTTTTGAACTTCACACTAATTTGTCAGTGCAGAGTCATGCTAATGCTTCATCATTAGGCACAAAAAAAAAAAAAAAAAAAAAAAAGACATGTAAACATGAATGTCCATTGCTGGGTAGCTCGAATTTCTCTACCTGGAGAATTGGCTAAAGGTTATTCATAGCAAAACATGCTCCCATTTCACTCTTTATTTACTAGTTCTTTAGCCACTTATATCCCCACCAGCTCACCCCTATCAGACCAACACCCTCTGCATTCCCAATCCAAGAAGATGCACTCCAGGCAACTCTTTTATAAAGGGGAAGACAGTAAAAAAAGATAATTAAGTCTCAGCCATACTCTGTCACAAGGATAAAGTTGCGCTCTCAAATACACAGGCCTTAAACCAATCAATATTTAATCATCTTTAGCACACCTAGTCACACTTTAAGTCACAGTGCCTAGCAAATTTGTGATGCCGAAGACTAATACTTAGATCACGTGCTTAAACATACCCAACTGCATCTATGTGATGTGTAGAAAGGGATCATACAAGACCAAAACAGGAAGTAAGAAGAGAAGAGTAGCAAGCAGCTAGGCCCAGCTACAACCTCATGACCCTTCCCGCCCCTGTGCCATGTTTGTGCAGAAATTTAGAAGTTAAAACTGAATGGCCACTTGTGGCTCACCTGTTTGAGATATTAGAATCAGGACCTTCTGGGTGCCTCCAATTAGCTCCTTTAACAGGCATCCACCAGGGAGCAGCTGCAACCTGAAAACAGGCCAAGTAAAAGAAAAAAAAATTGAAGGCCTTCTAAATTCCCAATCAAAAACTATTCTGGGAAACATCCACATGACAAAGAAGAAACTTCACCTCATTTTTAAGTTACAGCTCAGAAGTCTGAGACAGACAGAGATCAACTCCAACCAACTAAGGGATATAGTATGCTTGGCCTCTAGTGTTACTGGCCACATAAGAGCCAGCTGCAATTGTTAAGACCTGAAGCCACTTGTGAAGCTTGCCCAGATTGCCTTATTGATGACTTCAGCAGCCTTTATTTTTTGGGGTGGGGAGGGGCAAGAAAAGAAGAGAAGTGGTATGGGGGAATATCACAGTTTTAAATGAACTTCCTAAGAATCCTTGCTCAGTGGTTAGTACAGGCAAGGCTGATTCTTAAGCTGCTTACTAACTTAGTCCAGTTTCTACAGGGTGGATTAAAAATGGTTTATTTAAAAACACACAACCCCAAAACAACACAAAAGCAAGAACAAAGCCTCTTAAACCTGTCAACACTTCACAGCTCTGGAAACAGTAGTTTTAAGACAATTACACAAAACCCCAATGACTTAAGGTCAAGATGTGCATCTTCCTATTCTTTTCCTTTTTAAAAAAAAAATGCACTAGAGCAAGGCTGAAGGTTTTGCTACTAGCTTCCAGGAGGCGGAGACAGAGAAGCCATATACAGTCTCGGTTTCTCTCCGACTTATCTGTAAGCATGTCGTTACCCTGCCAAATACATCGTTGATCTCTGCAGCGTTGCATGAGATTTCTCTCAAAAAAAACCCCAAATCCTCCCAAAACGTTTTTTTGCAACTGTTGGGGGTAGGTAGGGTGTGCGCACGCACATGTTAAAAAATGTCTGCAGTTTCTCCCACTTCCAGACAGCTGTCATGCACTGGTTCACATACAGCCAGTCCTTTAAAGAAAGCCTCTTGAAGTAACCAGCATTCAAAAAAGAGAGAGAATTGCTTGTTCACAGAAGGCAAATACTGCAGCAGCACTGCCATGAGGCTGCCTAATGACATAGGATTTTAAAGAGGATATCAATACGAATAAAAAGTATCCACAACTTACTACGATAAGCAAAATGAAAATAAGCTGATCTTCAATAGATTTAGCATGTCAGCATGCCATCAACTGGTCAGGCCAGGATAAAGTAGAAGGGGCAGCACGTCCCAATAGACAGAGCTAGAATACAAGACACTTCTCTGCCCTGTGCCTCAGTCGCCCTTCTGGTACCTTGCATCAAGATTTTCCTCAACACAGCACATCTTGGGGCTCCTTCCTATCTGCTCCTGGTCTCTTTCAGAGACAGGACACTGGGCTAATGGTCAAATCCAGTTTGGAGTTGAAAGACAGCAGCAGTTTCCTATGGGAAACGTAAACCGTTATACCACTTGCCTCCGTGGGGTTTAGCAATTGACAATGATATACATCAGCCGCATGCACTCTCTGGTTACACCTACTCATCAGAATAACTAAAATAGAAATTTTAGTAGGGGAATTAGCTGCCGACACCAACAAATGGAAGCAGTAAAATAGGTTACTGCTTTGGAAAGATTCGTTGCTTTACATTTTAATCAAAGTGACCTCGGTGATACAGGCTTGTGTCCTTACCCCTCGCGGGGAAAATTTCACCCACTTTGCTGCTCAGGGCATGTTAAGCTAAGCTACTAGGGTCATTGTGGACTCATCCTCCTTCACTCAAATGAGCTCATTTGTTTGTGGAATCACAGATTGCACTTTTCTATGAAGAAACCAGCTGCCCAGGGTGAATGGCTTCTTTTAATGAAGAAAAGAGTTTCCCCCCGCGTGAGAGCACTGCATGCGTATCCTGTCTCTGTCTGGGCCAAACTGTCCACTCGGCCCACTTGAGTAAACGTTTCAGTAATACTTTTCGCAATGCTAATCTTTTTAGAAAGACAAAGTGAGGAAGGTAAGTCTATAGGCCATGCTGTAAAGAGTTAATCAAGTGAAATAGTTCATACCCCTATTTAAAAAAAAAAAAAATTTAAAAAATCCCTTCCTGGACTGGTGTTCATCCATATGGCTGCCAGCCTTCACAGTCACAGCTGTAGATTTGGAAGTACAGCAGCCAGGATAACCACTCAAACTGGACAACCTCAGATTTCTCCCCAATAAATGACCAAGACAATCAATTAACATCAATAAATCACCAACATTAAAAAAACGAAAAAAAACCCCAAAAACACGCAGTAAAAAAAAAAAAGCGAGTCATTTCAAGCTTCTCAGAAAGTTTTAACACTTTTAATGGCTCTAAAAATCCAATTAGCAAAGGCCAATTAGACGAGAGATATTACAACCTCATCATTCAATACAGCCAGCCTTTTTCCTTGCCACTCAGCAGCTTAATTGCTGTCATGTTGTTAGATCCTTCAGATCTAAACACACACATTCCACAGACCCAAGGATCGATCCAGTTTGTAAAAATATACTGCAGATGAATACAAGTCTAGGAAGGGAGTTTTAAATAGGGACATGAACTATTTTTGAACTACTCTTCATGGTATGACCCACAGATTTGCTTTTAGACAAAAGAAATGCAGAAGTATGACTTACTGAAACATTTACTCAAACTGGCTAAGTGGATAGCTGCTCTGAAAACATCACAGTTGTTACGGTAAATATAGAGATGTGGGTTTGAGGGGCAGAAAGCAATTAAGAGCGAGTGTGGCTCAAAAGAGGTCTTTCCTCTGTCTAATTAGCTAAACATTTTGGATAAATATCCGGGCAGAAATTAAGTAGACAGAGTACAGGCTATGAAACACTTCCTTGGGAACGGCATGGCCAGGAGAAGAGCACTCTCCACAATATGGTTAAGAACTAATTCTGTCCTGCAAGTTTTCCACTTAATTAGTACATTAGCACCACCTCTCAGCTTAAAATAAGAAGAATCCAATTTGCTTTTCCAGGACAGACTGCAATACCCGAACTCCAATAGTAGCTCCATCAGTCTCACAGGACATCTCAATCAAGGTTTCGCAGCAAAAGCAAGGGACCCACACTAGCCCTTAGTGCCGGCATCACCCGAGTAAAGCACTCCTTCGGCAGTATATGGGTAAGAAATATAAATCCACGAGATTCGTTTCACCGTCAGACTCAGTACTGCATTGCTAGTAAGAGAAGGTTGTTCTGAAAAACCAGCTAATTTATCTGGAGTTTATTTAATCAATCATAAAAACGCTCCTGTTGGTCTTAGGCTTTGTAAGAGTGTGTTTTTGAAAACTCACCTTTGCCCCCAGATTTTAGCTTCCAATGGAGTTTATTTCGGTAACCTCCTTCAGACACTAATGAGCAACAGAGCAATCATTCCTCGGGACGTGGTTCTAAGCTGGTTTGCAGTCTTATTTGCCCAGTGACTCAAATTCTTGTTGCAGCCTAAATCCCAGTTGGCCCTACCTTCGGTGAATCACTGCCCTAAGACTCTGTGCAGCCTAAAGCTTAGTTTCATTTTGATGCCAGCTTCATGTCCTTCGTTGAACTATAAAGTATGATAGAGCAATGATTTTATGAAGTCCTGGAACTTCCTATTTCATCTGCAGAAGATTTCCTGCCCGGCAGAGTCAATCCCATTGAGTGGAGAGATCCCGTCATACACGCAAATAACTCACTTCCTGTAAGGGAAGGAGAATTTCAACAGGCTGCAGCTATGACCCTGTTCCCATTCACTATATTTATAATGCCCACCTCTTCCCTCTCCAAATCCAAGGGAGGGTGCTTAGATAGCTACGCTTCCCATCGTCACCCGAACTGCTCCCAAACTATGCTTTTATCAACACACGCTGAAAATGGCACTAGCATGACCTATTTCTATCAGTGCACCATCACCATAGCAACAGTCTTGCGTTTAAGTTGAAACAGCTGGAACTGTGCACCGAGACACATTACAATGTAAATAGTGTGCAAGCAAATGTGGCTTCAAGGCTCAAGAGAAAAGGAGAGGCCTTGACTAGCCACATATATAGTTGGTTGTCATGGCAGCTGCCCAGAAGAGCCATAATTTACAGATGTGATTATAAGACTTTGTGTGCGTGTGTTTGCAGATTATTTTGCAAAGAAGAGAAGGAACAACACTCTTGCAAATGAACTATGAACTGAACAAAGTTGCTTTCCTAAGCCTGTCTCCACCAAATGTGTAATTAAATACACTCAAACTAATGGGTTAGAAAAAGGGAAGTCACTAAGGAATCTCATCCTCCCAGCAGAGAGCTCTATTAAAATGGCACTGCTCGCCTTTGTGATGCTATCACAAGTCTCATAATATTTGTTGTTTCCAATTAGAGGACTTCGGGAACGGAAGCTCTAATTACACGAGAATCTCAGCTTTCATTAGAAAAACAAAAGGAGGGTTTCTAGCCTTTATTGTTAGAGCGGGTCAGGGAAATGTGACTGCTGAAGGGTCTAAAACCCAAGACAAAAAACCTGAAAAATTCTAAACAAATCAAAACGCATTCAAAGTCTGGAAACGGTCCACAGGAAGGACAGAGTGGAAGATTTTTTTTCCTTTATTTATTTTTAATTATAAAGAAACCAGGCTTAGAGCAAACAAGGAAGTACTTCTTACACAGCAAGTAGTTAACTTGCTGAACTCCTTGTCACTCAGCAGCATCCCACTTCTACCAATGGGGGGCAAAACCATCTATATCCTGTCACTTGGTGGAGGAGGCTGTCTGTACCACCTTCAGTCTAGGCCAACTCCATTTATAATTTCTGCTCTGCAAGTTGCCTTTGAGCTTATTAGGTACATTTGAGGAGCGCAGCTGTTAGCATCCTCTTTCAGAATCTACATAGCTCCGGTCCCACCTCCGCTCTCTAAACTGGACACAATCCTACAAAAACAATGAAATAGTAAAATTGCAGCATGAGTCCATTAGAAATGTAATCAGATTATTCCGTTAAAAAAAAAAAAAAAAAAAGATACCATCAATACGCAGCTTACCAGGGCTTTAATACTCTGCATCCAATAGGAC